ATATTTCAAGCACAGTTCATAAAGAAGCGTAGTGAGGGCACACTGTGACAGCTATGGCATCCTAGCAGGCCATGGCCACAGCACACTGCACACAAACCCCATTTACAAGGAGCTAGAAACAAGCAGACAACGAGCTGCCTAGACCACAGCAAGGCAGAGACAGGAAGGAAACTATTGCCAAAGGCAAAAGATAATAAAAACGTGAAATACCTACCCAGCTCTGCTGGAGCATTGCAATAAACGCTCCCAAAACAAGTCGTGGAGACGAGAACCCACTGGCCGCGCAGCGACGGCAGCGCTTGGCGCTGCGGGCGCCCAGAGCCCAGGCAGGCAGCCCGGCACAGCTCGCTGCAACAAAGCAGTCACTGACCTGAGGCCGCTGCGCGCAGCGAGGAGGTCGCCTGAGGCCCCATGGGGAGAACAGCACCCGCAGGGCACGGAAAACTCGCCAGGGAGCAGCAGCTACAGTTTGGAGGGCTGCGAAGGCAAATCCAGAGGTAGTTACGAAGTAAGAGCATGTTTTCAGTGCACACTGACAGAGCACTGAAGCCAGGAAGGAGGCACAAGAAACTCAGCTATCAGCTGGGCTAACATGGGAGAAAACAATACAGAAGCAATAAGGAAGCCCAGCAGAAAAGAGTCCAAGAAAAGAAGCAAAAGGATGGAATGAAGTTCCCTATGGAACAACACTCAGAGAAGGAGAACTACTCAGCACTGAAAACTGAGTGATGCAAGATCCTAAACCAGAGCGGCAGATACCGCATCCACAGGTCGCTGCATAGTAGTAGGACCGGGGCTTTAGCAAGTCTTCGAAACTCATGCAAGGAAATGTTGCTACTAGTTATCTGAAGACAAGTTTCAGCATCTTATGTGGTAGCTGGAGACGGAAGCAACATAACTCACAGGAGGGGAATTCTGGAGACAGGACAAGGAAGAGGTCCAACAGAGCCCTGTGCAGAGGGCCTCGAGATCCCGCCACACGTCTCCAAGGCTGCCGTGGTTATTAGCCAGCAAACTTACACAAACTGTTCAGTAGCCCAAGCTGGACTTACTTGACCTTCTGAAGATTCACAGATGTGTAATGCTTATCCCACCCAGGAGAAGCAAATAGCAGAAATCAAGGAATGGGTGACAACAGCACATGCTATGGTCTTATTTATGCTTCTGTCATATTATCTAACATCTGTGGATTGAAATCTTGACCTACCAGCAAAGAAAAAAAAAAAATCACTGGCGTGCAACAGCCAAGACATTAGCCTCTGCACGTTATATATGTTAAGCACTGTGCATGGCTGCCCGTAGCCCAATTCCTCAGAGCTTACTTGTCCCCCACGAGCACGGACGGTGCTCGCTGCCCGTCGTAACGCTCAGCGCTAGGAGCGCGTCAGCAGCCAGAGGCGCCGGCATCGGCGTTAGCTGCGAGCCGAGCGGCTGGGCAGAGCCCTGCTAGTGTCAAAACACCTGCCGTGTGCTCGGCCTTCTCAGTGTTAATCCAGCGCGGGGATGGCTGTGCTGCGCTCCTGCCGCAGATCCAAAATCATCTCCTTCAGCAGAGCATTTATTAATCAGTTTAATGCTTTTGCTGTGGCCGAGCAAGGCCCTGACCCTTCCCAGGGCCGTTCCCTGTCCCAGCGAGCAGCAGCTGAGGATGCGGTGACCCTCCGGTGGCAAATCCCGCGCGCGACCCATGCGCGTCCGCGGGAGCTCGCGGCACCGCTCCTGCCGCCGACCCCGCGCAGTTTGCGCTAGCGGTTCCCCCCCGCTCCTTTGCGGCGGCACAGCTTGTGAATGAACACGACTACGTGCCAGCCCTGTTTTGCTGATGGCTTTTAATCCGATTTCTAACAAATAAATAATCTCTACCGGCCATGAGCCTGGGCCGGTTGCCCCTTTTATGAGGGCATCAAATACCATAGTGAAGAGCCTAAAAACGCTGCCTTGTTTTTTCTTCTCAATTATTTAATAGAGCACTTTAGACCCTCAAAGCAGCACATAAATATTAACTAGCTAATCCTCCAGCCTTCTGGAGAGATAGGGAGATATCAATATTTTAGAGACCAAAAGCCTGAGGTGCAGACTGATTTGCTCAAGGTCACAATCCAAGCATAAACGGGAGCCGGGAATACAACCTTGGAATCCATATGCCCAGCTGGGCCACAGCCTTTGGGCCCTGGCCATTCCACACGTTTTCTTTTCCAAAGTTATGATTTCATTATTACTACACATGCTTTCCCCCATGCTGTACTTAGGAGTTCATGGTGCGGTCCTTTGTCACTTAAATACATTTCTGAAGTCTTGAATTACTGGAAATAGAAAAATCTCAACACTAACCACATTGTATATACAATCTTAATATCATCAAGCCAGCTTAAATAAACATAGATTAGAAACAGCTCACACAGAGTAAGAAAAAATAACTGCTGTTCTAAGCAGCATTCATATTAAGAGCAGTTAAAATCCGCTCTAGAGAACAGAAGTAACTATAAGGACTGAAAAAAAATGAGGTAATACTACATCTACTGCTAGCAAACATCCCATATACATGCTTGCACAGCAAGTAAAATACTACCTATGCTACCCATTAGTACTTGAATCTGTATCCTAACTGGAAAATATACTGACAAATATCCTGAAACCTGCACACTGATTGTTTCCCAGTCAGGATGACACTCAGTCAAAACGATATAACATTTCTAGGTAGTTTCATAGATATCCTAACCCAAGGGAAGAGAAAGGGGTACAACACTCAAAGACTGAAAAGAAAAAAAGAAAAAAAGAAAAAAAAAAAAAAGGAAAATTCGTCTTGCATCATCTCCAAAGAGTAGATACCAATTCAGAAACTGTTCATATTCTCTAATGCACAAACACAACAGTGATATTTAGGCTAGCCTGGAATAGGTTTAGGAAAAGCAAAGGATACCACCAGACTTTCCAATCGGAGGCAGGGCTGGAGCTGCGAGGTTCGAGCTGAAGCCCAGGCAGAGCAGTGCAAGCCCCTCTCCGCTTCCACTTACGCTGCATCTGTCCTACATACAAATAACTGGAGCTACTTGTGCTTCAGTCCAGCTATTATCAAAGCCCTGAAACATTTTATTTTGTGCGCAGCAATTAGAACCATTCAAATAATTGGTTGCTCCTTTGAATCCAGACTTGGCACTCGGAGATTTTGTCAAGCGCTCTGGAACGGGATGCAGATAATGTGCCACAGAATTTGTGCGCGCACAGTGATGAGTTTGGAAAAAAAAAAAAAAAGTCTTCATTAGACTTCAGACCCGCTTACTCCTTCAAGTGAGCATTGTCACTCCAATTCCTATAATTAAATTCATGATTTTGACAGCTGAAACCACAGGAAATATTGCAATTTTAGTCAAAATGAGCTGTTACCTTTCAGGCTGTTGCCAAGAATATTGTAAGAGTTCCTGCCACGTGTTTTAATTTTATCATAACTGAATCTTCATCCATCTCACTTCATGTCTACAGCAAAGATCTCAAAAAGTTTTCCTTTTATCAGACAATCTGGAAGTCCAAAACAAGCATTTTTACCATAATACCAATAATACAGATTTCTACTGTAACATAATTATTATACAAAGCAGTTTTACGGTTTAGCAAATTACACACACATACTATTTAATATGATCCTATGCCTCTGTCCAAGTGAGCCTATTTTCCACGTGTGGAAAAGTCTGAAGCCAGTAATACTGCTTCAGACATGATAGGGAGCTTGTACATCAAATACCCTGAGCATACGTCAGCTTGAATTCATAGCATCTGTACAGGCAACCTACACATTATTAGCCACATGACATCAAGGTGCTAAAAATATTAAGCATCAGCCAAGTTTTTCTGTCCGTTTTTATTTTTCAGTCAATAGTTGGATGCCAGCACAATTCCAACCACCAAGGAAGAAATTTCATCTCCAATTAGCAGATATCACAGGCACCACAGAGACAATAAAATGTTTTACAATTCAAAATTGCATTCGACAAGCCACGTGCGCCATCATTCAGAAATGTTTAAAGCAGAACAGCACATAAAACACAATGCTTGAAAGATGCATACCCTGTATAATTTATATTATTTCTGCACCTGAAACAAAGGTGACTTAGTCACAAAAAGAATGAAAAAATAAAAGCAATGCACTAAAGAAGCAGCTATGCCACAATGCTGCCCCCTTCCTAAGGCAACATGACCATGAAGGAGGCCTACTCTGCATACAGCAGAATCACCTATAAATACCCAGAGGTTCCAGTTCACAACTGGGAGAAGTTAGAATGAAAGCAGGAACCCCGCTCTGATATCCAAAAAGCAGGTAAGTATGTTTAGGGACGTGTCATTTAGCAGTGAAGACCATTTGCAAAATTTTCTTCTCTTTGCAATATTCATCTAGCGAACTTACTCATCTACAGAAAAAGACAACTTGAACTACCAAAACTGACTTAATATTGCAAAAAAAAAAAAAAAAAAAAAAAAAAAAAAAAAAACTGAAAAACCAAAAACGAAATAAAATTTGAAAAAAAAAAAAAAAAAAAAAAAAAAAAATTGAAACCTGAAAGCAATATGCTAAAGAAATGAAAAAAATTCTTAATATCTTAGTTCACAGTGCACCACAAAAACAGAAACAAAAATCTTATATAACAGCTTCCAAATTTCAGAGGTTAGGCTTTTGTTTCAATTCCGTGTATTCTGAGAAGTGCTTCACCTATCAACACTGTCAGATTCTTTTTTCCACTTTGAAATACAAAACTGTATTAGTACCCTCACCAGCACACACTGTTTTTACCTTTTTTGTCTCTTGGAACGCTAGGTCATCAGTAGCGAATCACATCCACTTTAAGTTAACAACAGTTCTAGAGAAACCACTACCTTGCTGGAAATTAAGTAGATACTGGGAGCAAAATAAATTAAAAAATAAGATATTCCAGAACTAATTTCTCCAATTAAAAGAGACCTGTAATATCTGGAAACTCTAGATTCTAGTCCCTTCAATACTTTTTTTTTGTGTTATATAAAGTAACACTGAGCAGACCTCAGGTTTATTTAATAATTTCTCTATACGGAAAGTTGGTTTGTTCCTCACAATTAATTAACAGGGTTGAGTCCTGCCTCTCCAGAGGCTCTCCACGAAAGCAGAAGCTGTACTTCAGACTTTGATCTCACAGATGTTTGCAACAGTTTGACTCTGCCTATGCTTCAAAGAGGATTATAGCGTGCTCAAAAATTCTTTGACCTGCAAAAAGAAACAAATATTGTCAATCAAATGAAGTATTTATCAGAACAAATAGACAGCAACGATGTTTACGTCCCCAATTGTTTATGCTGTGTTACAAGATACAGTAATTAGGTAGACTAAATTAGGGCTGGCTACACAGTTTCTTGTCTGTTAAGCACTTGTACAGTCACAACAGCTGTGCTTGAACAGGCACAGAGCTATGCATTGCACTGATGCTTGTTTCTCCAGGGCTGCCAAAGTACAGCCCTACACCAGGGAATTAAGGGCCAGGCTAATCTAAATGAAAGGAAGATAACAATTACGTCAAATGCTGTAGAGTTTATAATATACTAGGTCACAACTGCTCGTGATGCTGTTCATGCCCTGTGTTAACAAACTGCCCAACGCATCTAGTTAGTAGGTTCCTCAGAATGAGAGGCTGGAAAAGAAATAAAGCAACCTCTAGCAAGAGCACAGCACTCAGATTGGATGCTAGAGGTATTTCAGTTTGTGTTTAACACAGTCTCCAGTATTTTAACAACAGACTGAATGGCCACAGGGACTAAAAATTAATGGCGAAATTCTGAACCACAGCATGATATCTAGAGCCTTGAATCAGAGATCTGTGATCCTACACGGAGACCCAACAGAGCATCTCAAACGATCCTCCTGACTGCAGGGCAAGCGACATCCAAGGCAGACAGCATGCCAGGCGCATGACAGCACAACACTTCAAGGTGCAGCTGCTACACACAACAGCCTTTTAAGTTCGAGTCCCAAAGTGTCATATCCCAAATTGTAGGGAGACGCTGCGCTCGGAGCTCCCTTCTCACCACAGCAATGCACGACTTCTTCCCTCTGCGCTGCCCCCAGCCGAGCGTGCCGCAGTAACCACTGCCTCCTTTGAAAGGAGGGATGGCAGCGAGGGCCAAGGCACCTTCCTTGTGGGATACACCTGAGCTCTACAGGAGCCAAGGAAAACTGCGACTGGCAATCGACTCCTCTCACACTGGGGAGCATCCTAGTAGCTGCCTTTAAGGCAAGCAGAACTGGGAGCGCTTCCCACTCCACCTGCTCAAGTTGGGCAACGGTATAGAAGGAAACCAGTAGCTCACAACAGAACACGGCTGTCATGCTATTGGCAAAGGCTATCATACATTGACCCTCATCTGCAAATAATTCGTCCAAGCATCTTGTCCAAATTCGTGCTGTGAAATAGAAACAAATCTTGAATCACATTCTGAAATTCTGAGCCTTCCTTTCCTACTTCAAGACTCAAGGAGAAAAAAAAAAAAAAGTAAAATCCTTTCCCATGGAGAAGGGAACAGAGAACTGTGCTAATATTCTAACTATAAGGGTGTCACGAGAAAGCAATTCCCTTTTTAAAAAGCATCACCTGATGAAGCATATCATACTGATTTGCGTTAGACAATTTCAGGATCGGTCTTTGGAACTGAGCACATCACAGAGAAGGAGGAAGCGGTTTCCTGGTCCCCAGGGAACAAGAGCACATTCTGGAGGCTAAAGCACTCAGTCTTGGGAAGACTGGGGAAGCTCAGGACCTCCACTTAGGAAATAATAAAATAAGGCCAGCCCTGGGCTTTGGCTGCTCCCAGATGAGCTGACAGCCACACAGGGATCAGCTCCTCCAAAACTCCCATTTAGATACCTCAGATTGGCTTCATTCTCATGGGGCAGATTGAAAACATATTCACTTTACACCTGGGATGTCCAGTTGTTCCATCAATTAACAAGCTTATAAGAGGAAAGATGATAAAAGCTGCTATAAATCAAAGGACATAGTAGCTTTTCCCCGAAGGTAATCAAGTTGTGCTGAAGAGGGGGGAAAAATAAAGCACAATATCATTGCTACCCTCTGTACCTTACTGCAACACACACACATACAAAAAAGTCACCTTGTCCTCAGCTGAATCTCCTCATGATTCAAATGCCAGAAACCTTAGCAGTTAGTATATCAGAGGTCTTGATGGTTTAGCCTAACCTTAAAAAATTTTATATACCTTTATTAAATAAATATATAAAGCACCCTTTCATGCTAACTAAAAATTAACTCATCTCCAAACAGAAATTTCAGCTGGGCATTCTTCTATACCGAACAATTTTTTTTTCAAGTATTGAAGCCAAGTTTAAAGAAGCAGTACCAAGAAGGATTTTGAGGACTAAAAAGTATGGCTGAAAGGGACAGTTTTGATGGTATTGCCAAGCTAATCAAAAAGCCTCTAACTTAGCAGTACTGTAGCAGGTTGCGTGACTCCTAATTATGTGAATTTAACTCCATGGCTTAAACATTTTAGAAGAATGACGACACAGTGAAGCCTATTAATTTTAAGGCAAAGGATGCTTTTTTGCACTAGCTGTACAGCTGTTTATTAGCATAGACTTAACAAGAGCTAGAAGGATTAGTCCCTTACTCTCTTTTCCTTAGCTAGAAAGGTCTGCAAAGCCTAGAACAGCCTTCCATTGGCTTGCTGCTTTTGGTTAAAACTCAGCTCCCGGTTTAGTGAGGTTTTGATTTCCTGTTGTCGTGGTTTTGCACTGCATCTTCACACATTCTGCCTGAGACACCTGCCTTACATCTGCATTCTTCTCTCTCTGCCTCAACAGCTCCTTTTTCTCAGACTCCCACCACATTTCTGAGGATATCTGAACCGTCTCAGAAGTGGAACTTAGCAAGTAACAGCTCTTTTAAAGCACTGGGGATTATCTAAAAGTAGTCATCGTATTTGCAGACAAAGACAAGAGGGGAAATTCTCTGCAATAGGCCTGTTTTCGATTAAAAAACAAAATAAAACCTCTACATAGGAAATTACATGGATACACAGGTTCAAACTTCAAAGAACACAACAAGCTGAGATACAAGAAGGATCCTGAATTCATTCAGCAAGCTGGCAATTAACCATCATGATCAATTTGTTCTGCTTGTCAAGGCTTACCTTTTCAGTCATGTGATCATATCTGTCCTTTTTGCCTTTGAAGTCTTCATTAACATCTAATGTTAAAATAGGGATTTCCTGTAGGTATTCAAAATCAGTTCTGTATTGGAATAGGAGCAAAGAAAGAAACATTACTAATGGCAAATAGGACATGGTGTGAGTTGCTATCAGAGTACTCATCTTGGAAATTTCCATGAGAAGTGTTTTTAAATACAGCCATCGATTCTGACTATAAGAATCAAAGAAGTTTAGATGTACAGTGACGCTTCTAGGATAAGCTATTGATTCTTGAGCATGGAATTCCCCCAGCAGCTCATGTTCAACTCAACTGAATATTGCAATATATTTTAATTAAACTTGCCATTTCAGAAGAAAGCTCAAGTTTCACTAGTGCAAAAAAGTATTAGGAAACACCCCTACAGAGATCTTATAGTGATCACTAAACAAATCCTACCGCAATGTTCTATGCTGAAGCCAACTTTCGTGCTTGTAATGAAGCTTCTCCAGATATTCAATGGGAATTTCTTGCTCTTCATCTCTTCCACGCAAGTAAATCCTATTTAAGCATTTCTAAAGACAAAATATATAAATACATTTTTTATATCTACCTAAATATGTGTATGTAGATGGGTTGTGTTTGCAGAAGGAAGAAGCAGCCTAATCTTCCAAGGCTGTTTTTGCCAACCTCTTCCTACCAGGCTAAACATGCCACTCTGCCTAACATGAATATGCAAATTGCTAACTAAGTTCAGGAGAGTGGAAACCTTATTCCACGTGCAGCTGACATAACCTGCTGACTGCATCTTTCCTACCAAAAGAAAAGCAGGAAAAATTCAAAAGAAAAACAAAAAAAAAACAAAACAAAATAAAACCCTCTGACTACAAGGAAAGGTCTCAAAAAAAGCTTTAAATAAAAGGAAGACCAGACAGAGTACAGTGGTATGGGAATGACATTACAGACAGGCATTTCAAGATCTCGTTTGGTATTTCCGGTTTTAAGAAACCCAGTTTTAGAATGCAATCATGCACTACAAGCCTGAGCAGATCAAGAGCCTTAATAACAAGGCAATCTAAACTGTTTTGTTTTGCAATTTAGATGGGTATTCTTGACTTGGAGGTGAGAGGCGGGAGCAGATGACGCACAATGGAGAGCCTTGCCAGGAGGTCCTCCCTGCAACTCCAGCACATGACACGAGAGAGTTGTCTACAACAGTAACTAAAGCCATAAGCAAAGTAGGGAAGTGACCTTTTAGTTACTATAACTCTTTCAAAAATCTTAATTTTTCCCTCTTGTGCCTTTAAGTTTCACCCTCAAGAGAGATATTAAGTTGTTATCGTTCTTAAAAGACATTAGATACTGAAACATCATAGCACTGTGCTAAAGCATCACATACAGCAAGTGCATTCATCTGGCTTAGCTCACTTGTCCCACATAAAAGGGCTTTCCTCCCCTGCCAGTTGCCTGTGGCATGAACTATAAAATATTTTATTTATCATAGCAATGCTCCTATGGCAACTTATACTTTTCACTCGCTTTTACTATCAATGCTATTTTCTGTTTTCTTTTATCATTTAGACACAATGCTTTTATAGTCTGGAAACAATTCTCACATTTTCCTAATGGACCCAAATATATGTTGCTAGGACAAAAATACCAAGCAAGAATAACAAACATAAATGTATGGCAAACACACACACAGGTCTGAGATACTATAACTCTGATGGCAAATTGTAAAGTCAACAGCAACAGAAAATATACACAACATCAGCTGTAACACTTGTGAAGACCATTCTTGTATTAAGTATTTCCAGTGTTTCCAGCCTGTGTTAATAGTAACTCAAGCAATATCATCTTCAGGGAACTATTACAATCTGAATTGAACTCTGAACAATAGGACTGTTATGATGAGAGGCAAGGCTAACTCAAGGTTTTGAAAATACACATGCCTACAGTTTAGTTCAACCTTTAAGTTAACTTCAAGGATATTGCCTCAACTGCTTCCTGACCTGTTCCAGATCTGATCCCACAGCACTAAAGCTAACCATCTCCCAGCGCCCAGAAACAGGCTGGATAGGAAAAATCCTGCTTCCAGGATTACAGGTAACAGAGCTCAGCTACAGGCCATTGACTGGAGCTCACAGGAGGCAGCCACGCGAATGCATCAGCAGGTCTTAGCATCCGGCCTCAACAAACCCCTCACTGCAGCCAGTCTTCCAGCAAGACTTTTTTTTTTTTTTTTTTTTTTTTAAAAAACTCTCATAAAAATACTACTGACTCACCATTCTCTCCATTGCTATTGAAACAAGGAAGAAGACAGTTCATCGCAACTGTGGGTAAATTGTAGCAGGAAAGGGCTAGAATTTCAAATGCAAATGTTTCCTGCAGAACCCAAGAGAACTGTGACCTTATTAGCAAGGCTTAAAGGCATGGTATTCCTTCCTCATAAAAAGGGCCTGCAAGTACAGCTAAAAACTATTTGTTTTTTGTTTAGTTGGTTTTTAGAAACAATACTGTCGAAACATACACAAAAACAAATCCTCACAGAGCACACACTCCCATTCTCTATGAGACCATAAATGTTTATTCCTCACCTCAGGAGTAGCTCTGAGATAAATGATGCCATCCAGCACTAGACTTTGACCAAACTGCTTGTTCATCCAATCGTGCCAGTCTTGGTAAATAGTCCATTCGGTCTCATTCATACAATCAGACTCGTACAAGTTAGCTGCAAAGATGTACCTGCAAATGTGAAACACTTCTGTGAGCAAAGAAAAGCTTGAAAAAGGTTATCATTTTGCCTGTATTGAACACTCAGCAGGAGGTAAGAATGTCACTGAGCAGTCATTTTGTGACTTTTGAGGTATCGGAAAAGTTGGCATCCTTATCCTCTAACTATTCCTATTGCAGTTGTCCGTCCAGTTGTCTGCGGAGAGCAGTCAGGTACCTGCTCAGGAAGAGCCCACAGGCCACCTAGACTCTTTACCTCGCCACTGAAATACTGGAATCCTTTATTTACAGCATACTGGAAAACAAGAAGTCCTCCAAAATTATGACAGGATTCAATGCTTAAGTCTGAGGTTATGAAACCAGCACCTGATAGGGATGGCTATATGAAATAGCTAGAGTTGCTGCAAAGAGCAAGAAAGAAAACAAGGATAAATGGCAGATTAAGAGACAGTTATTCGCAAGGCCTACTTCCCCTGCTCTCTTTAAAGGGTAGCAGGAGCACACAAAACACAAGGAACTCACTCACAAAGAAGATACTTCACACACTTAATCAAGTGTATACACCAAATTTATAAATCCTCAAACCAGAAAAATGACTGCACTGTCAACCCCTTAGCAAAAAGTTAAGCTGTTTATTGATACTCTTGTGACTCAGCACTATCAAAACTATAACCAAAGCAGTCCTAAAAAATAAATTAAAAACGACACACACACTCCTTTTGCTTTCTTCACGTGTTTTATTTGGGAGGGTTTTACTCTTTGCTGCAATGACCCCAGGCCCAACGTACCTGTCGCTGTAGACAGATCTCTCGAAGAAGACGACAGGATTCTCGGCCTCGCGCAGCTTCCCGTCGAGGGAGCGGAGCTGGGCGCGGATCCGGCTGAGGCACGCGTACGTCTGGAAGGTGAAGGACCACCGCTCCGGCTTCTCGTACATCATGCGCAGCACGTTGCCACCGCTCCTCTGAGACGTGGTCAGCTCCTGCTTTTAAACAGACAGAGCGGCCCTCTGAGCACGTATGGGTAGGGTATCGGACTACAGCAGAGCCACTCTACTGCATTAAAGCTGTTCAAGCTCTATTTCATGTTTGGTGCCGTTTGCCTTTCAAACCTATCTGTATACAAGACAGAAATGCAAGCAGTCAATTCCTGCTACAGCCCTGAGCTGAACGAACACAACTATTTTAATCTGTGGGGTTTAAAATACTCAAGAAGCATCACAAAACTTCCATTGCTACATGCAAACTTCAGTAAAAGAATGACAGCTTTTCAGAACTAGAAGTCAACAGCACGCTAGCTAATTCATGCTCCTTGAACAAATGTGAGCCTAACTTGGTAGATAGGCTAGCTTAGTACTTACTGCTTGTGCCACGAGCACTCTGCCAAGTTGTGGCCTAGCGGAGGCAGCAGGGCAGCCTAGGGATGTGCCCCACACGGGTCTGAACAGGGCTGCTTCCCTTTGGAAGGTGAGAGTTGGATGTCATGGCTGTAACATGGTCGTAACGGTTTAACAGGCCTAGGGCCCTGTCCACAACACGTCTTCGCACTCCCTAATCAGTCTGAAGAGATGGAGCTTCAGTGACATTGCACAAGCCCCTCTGTGTATCTATACCTCATCACCCGAAAATGAAGAGGTATAAACTCATCCTCTGGAAAACATGGCAACATTATTGATTAACACTATAGTAAAAAGTCTGATATTAAGTCACTTGAAGTATTTCAGGTTACAGCTGAAAAGAAAACTCAGCTTTCATTACAACTAGTAATGAAGAAACAATACATTTTAATAAAAATGAAAAGGTGAAACAACATCTTTTTGCACGAAGCTACATTAAAAGAAAACCACCAAGACTTTTTCAGCTATTGACAGCGCAAGCACCACTGTAAGATACACTGTGTGGACGCAGACACAAACAGTGCACTCTCCCATCTGTACTAGAGGAATCTTGCTTTCAGTGTTTCTAACAAATTTTTAGGAATCAAGCATACTGCCACAATTCTGCAAACCAAACCAAGCACTGGAGAAAAGAGAAGTTTAGTAGGTCCAGCTTCAGATATTATTGTGAGGGATGTGGAATTATATCTAAATCACAAATACTTTAAGAGACTTGACCTTCAAGGAACTAGCATGTCAGTTATTTCCTTAAAGAAAAAGATTTTCATCTGGCTTTGTAATCCATTTGCTTCACTATTACACTCCCCCTTCCCTCCCAAAAAACACACACAAGCAAAGCAAAACAAACAAATGACCTACTAGAACTTTCTAACTCAGAATAAGGATAACTGAGGGGAAGCATATACTATAAACAGCTTAGCAGTATATTCATGATTTGCTAAGTATTTTTTAAGGTCACCTTCCAGGACCAGCTATGCAAGCCCCTGCTCTCACCCGGCCAGTTCACATGCACTGAAAGTTCTGCATAAAATTTAATGATGTTTATTCTAAAATATATTTTTTAGGCTAGATGGTCTGACAATAAGCCACTGGAACAGCATAAGCCAGCCTAATCAAAAATCATCATTTGCAATACAATGGGAAACCCAGTAACATAATAAGAATCAATGGACTGGTGGCAAGCAAATGTATGTTTTAAAATGCTTGCTTTATCAGATATATCAGTCTTCTGAAATTAGAAGAGTATCTAACCAATTGAAAAATTTCATCTTAGTTTTTTTCTAATCGTACCTCGCCATCCTCATCAGCATTTTGTTGAACATTGCACCATCTTGCTACAGGCTCAGGAACAACTTCCCATTCTTCATCAGCTTGTTTGAGAATATTCACAAAGGTTGATTTCCCAGCTGCTGCAGAAAAAAAAAAAAAAACACAAGAAGTGTGGTCAAAAAAACAGCGATTCTGTCCCTCTAAATATTTCAGAATTGATTTTCAGGACCTGTAACTTAGTCTTAGCAAGGTAACTTAGTAAAGCTTGAATCAGAGAGCATAGTTCATCCCAACTCATCAAGGATTAAAGCCAGAAGGATTTCTTTTTCTTTAAAGATGATAATAATAAAAAAAGGGCCACAACAAATCTAAATTTAACAAAAGGCCAAAACAACAGTGAGGTTCAGTCCAGATCAATTATGTAAATTCTAGAAAGTTACTTTTGCTATTAGAACACACAGTCTTAGTGTTTTATATACAATTAATGGTCCAATCTCTGTTACAAAACTGTTCCAATTGCCATGTATTACAGCAGACAAAAAAAAAAAAAGAGCATTTAAGACACATAAAAGAAATGAAGGGCTCACACTACCAGTTCCCCTCCCATAGGACAGGGAAGAGGCAGCCACCAGCTGAAACCGCTCAGGAAACCGAGAAATGTCAAGCTGAGAAAGGCTCCCCAGCTAATATTGATGTTATCAGGAGAGAAGCAGAAACTCTTTGCAATGTCTGGCCTCCGTTTCTGCGAGGAGCACGGGCTCGTGAGCAGCTGCCCAGCCCTTCCCAGCCGCTGGACAAGCCCCTCTTCCTCACAGGGCAGCAAATATTACAACTCGGAGGTAGGGGCCTGCGCTCAAAGCAGGCATTAAGGGTAAACAAAAGCAACTGCGGGAGAGGCCTCATCCGGGAGCTCTGGGGTACATCACAATTCCCGTTCCCAACGCTGTGGGATACGGTCCCTCCCGGCGCTTCCCGGCCTGCTCGCACCGCGCAGCCGGCCCAT